GGTCACGCGCACGGCCTTCTGCGGGGCGACAGCGGGCGCGTGTCCCCCCTTGGCCCCGTGGCCTCGAGGCCGCCGCCGCAGCGCGCGGCGAGGCCCCGCGGCGCCCGCGGAGCCACCCACCTTCCACTTGGCGCGGGCGAAGTTCTTCTCGATCTGGGCGCAGACGCCCTCCTTGATGTTCTTGTCGGAGGCGGCGTTGCCGGAGATCCTGGGGGCGGGCGCGGGGCGGTGAGGGGTGCCCCGCGGCACGCGCCGCCCGTGCCCGCGCGCCCCGACCGCGCCGCGCCGCGCCGCTCACCACTCGTGCGAGATGGCCTCGGCCGCCGTGATGCGCTGGTCCTGCTCCACCTCCATGAGGCGCGTCACCAGCTCCTTGGCTGCGGGCACGGCGCCGCCTCAGCACCCGCCCGGCGCCGGGGACGCGCGCGCGGGGCGCCCGGCGCCGCCGCCCTCACCCGCCTGCGAGATGTCGTCCCAGTACGGGGGGTCGAACTCGTAGTCGCCGGCCAGGATCTTGCGGAAGAGGTTCTTGTCGTGGTTCTCGTAGTCGTCCTCGTCGGCCTCCTCGTAGAACGGCGGGTTCCCCGAGAGGCTGCGGGGGCGCCGGGGGGGCTCAGCGCCCCGGGGACCCCGCCGCGCGTGTCCCCCCGCCGCCGCCACCACTCACAGGATGTACATGATGACGCCGATGGCCCAGCAGTCGACGGGCCGCCCGTACCGCTGCCGTCCCACCACCTCGGGAGCTGCAGGGGCACGAGAGGGTGGCCGAGGAGCCCCCCGGGACACCGGGATGGGTGCCCACGTCGCCCAGGAGCGGCGCGAAGGACCCGCCGCCAGCGTGGGAAGGGAGAAGGAGCCAGTGCTGCCCCCGGCATCGCGGCGCCTCCTCACCCAGGTACTCCGGGGTGCCGCAGGGCTCCTTGATGAGGCCGTTCTCCAGCTTGGCCAGGTGGAAGTCGCTGATGACGATCTTGGAGTTCTTCAGGCGGTTGTAGTACACGAGGTTCTCCAGCTGCCGGCGGCGCGGGCGGTGAGTGCGGCGCCCGCGTCCCCCTCCCCGGCACCCCCGGCCGGCCGACCCACCTTGAGGTTCCTGTGCACGATCTTGAGCGAGTGCAGGTAGGCGACGGCCTCCAGCACCTGCCGGATGACGTTGCTCGTGTCCTTCTCCGAGTAGTAGCCCTGGTCCAGGATCCAGTCGAAGACCTCGCGGCCCGTGGCCCTGCGGGGAGAGCCGGATGCCGCGAGCCCCCGCGGCGCGGCGCGTGGGCACCCCCAGCCGCCCCGCGCACGTACAGCTCCAGGAAGATGAAGTACTCCTTGCGCGTGATGTACACGTCCACCAGCTGCAGGATGTTGGGGTGCTTCACCCTGGGTGGCCGGGGAGACGCCGGGGTGGGCGGGCGGCCCCCGGGCGCGGGGCCCCGGCGTCCCCACCGCGTCCTCGGCGCCGCCACTCACATTTTGAGGATGATGATCTCGTTCTTGGCCGCCTTGCGCACCTTGCGCCCGTCCCGCTTCAGGAACTTCTTGCACGTGTAGAGCTTCCCCGACGTCTTCTCCTTGGCCCGGAAGATTTCGCAGAACTCCTCCCTGTGGAGCCAGGGAAAACGGGGAGGGAGGAAACCGGGCGTCACCAGGATGTATCCGCAGGGCCACCCGGGAGCCGCGCGCAGAGGAACTGCCGCAGTCACCCACGGGCACCCCTCGCACGAGGGGGAATGGAGGAACCCGCCCCTCGCACGAGGCGGCGCATGGAGCACCCGGATTAATGGGGAATGGGGAAAGGGGAGCAGGGAAAAGCCCCATTGCAGGCACGGGGCGGGAGGAGGAGGGAGCCGAGCAAGGAGAAAGGAAGGAGCAGGGACGCAGCGGCTCCCAAGTTAACGGGAGCGCTGCTCTCCGGAAGGGGCCCACGGTGACCGACTCCTCCCTTTTATTATCCATTGCGGCCGAATCCACGGGCCCTCGTGCCAGGCATTGCGGGGAGGCAGCGCCGATCCAGCCCCGGCTGGGAGAACATCCCCGCAGGGTCAGCGCGGCCTCCGGCGGGAGCCGCTTCACCGAGCGCTCGGGAAACGTGGGCCGCGGCAGCCGCGCTCGGCTCCCTGCGGCTCCCCCGGAGCGGGGAGGTCCTGCTCCCACCGGCGGCTTTGGGGAGCCGGGATTTGGCCAAACGGCTGCAATCCCAGCGGATGCTTCCGCACGGGCAAGAGGGGGGGTTAATGGGAACCGGGCTGCAGCGATGGGCTGGCGGCAGCGGGAAAAAAAACCCGCTGCAAGGAGCGGCGGTGCCGTCGGAGCCGGCTCCGAGGCCGCGGAGAGGGATAGCGCCGGGCTGGCAGCGCGGGAAGGGCGCCCAAAGCGGCAGCGTTCCCGGCAGCGTTCCCGGCCCCCGGGCAGCTCGTCCCGGCGCCGCAGCCACTCACGTTTTGATGACCTGGCCCAGGTCATATCTGTCGGTGACCTCGGACGGCTGGTTATAGTCCTTCTTGTCGCCCAGCGTGACGCAGCCAAACGGCATCGCAGGGCCCGGTGCTGAAAGGGCGGCGAGGCCGGGTGAGGGCGACGCCAAACGGGAATCGCGGTGCCCCTCGCTGCGTATTCCGAGCCCGTTTGGGCCCGGCGCGATGCCTCTTTAGCCCGGCGGCTCCCGCAAGGAGCGTCGGTGCTGGCCGGGCCAACGTGCGGTGAGTTGTGCCGGCCTCAGCACTCGGGCACGACGGCTTCTTGGTGGGCTCTGTCCCCGCTCCGGCCTCAAGGGGCTTTTTGGTGACAACCCCGGCGACCTGGGACCCCCTTTGGACCTCCTGTCCCGGCGCTCCCACCGTCTGAGCGGGATTCGGAGCTCCGAGCTCCGGCCTCGCTCGGCACCCGCTGCCCACAGGGCACCGGCAGCGGCGGCCGCCGCCGGGCGCCCCGGGGCGCGCGGAGCCGCCGGGAGGACGGAGGCGCTCGGGATGCGGGAGCCGGCGGCTCCGGGTACCCGAGCCTGTTGCTATGGCGATGGGAGCTGGGAAAGCAGCGCGCGGCACCTCGCCTCGGCGCGGGGGGCAGGGCCGGGCGGGCTCCGGCGCATCCTGCCCCTCCGCGCCGGGCGCCCCCGCGGGTCCGGGGCCGGTGCTGCCGGGCACAGCGGGATGCGACTCCCCGCCGGACCCGGCGCTCCCGGGATCTGGATAGTTGTGGGACTGTCTGTGCCATGAGCGCCGGCCGCTTTGCCGGCCTGGCCCCGGGCTCACCGAGCTGCCGCCGCAGGAAAGTCGCCTCGTGCCGATGGCACCGGCCGCTCCGTGTCGCCGAGGCCGGCGCGGGCACCGCGGGAGCGCCGGAGCTGCCCCAAGGGAACGCGGCCGCTGCGGGCGGCCGAGCCGGGCGGACGGCCGCGACGGGCAGTGCCGCGGGATGATCCGAGGGCTCCGGCGCGGCCGCCGCGAGGGCTCGTCCTGCCCGGGCTCCATCCCCACGCCGGGCGGGATGCCCGGCTGCCCGGCAGGGAAGGGGCACCCCGAGGCGAGGGGGCTCCTGCCGCCGGGCGCAGCACCTAACCGGGGAGCAGCGGCTGCATCCAGGGGGTGACGCAGCCGCCCGGGGACCCCGTTCCCACCGGGAGGGTCGGGGGGCCACCCGACTGCAGCCATCCCACGGGGTGCCGGCTCTCCCAGCGGAGAGCGGCGGAAAACGCAGCGGGGAGCGAAATATCCCGTGGTTTTAAGGGCAGCGGGAGCGAGCGCCGGGGAGATGGGCACCCCGGGGTGCCGGGGCGCCCGCCCAGCGGCGCCGCAGGGCGCGGAGCTGCCTGCAGAGCCCCGGGAAGCGGAATGGGGGAATAATTAAATATATAAATACAGGGATAAAAGTCGCCGGCAGCGGCGAGCCGGGCGCGAGCGCCGCAGCGGGGGCGCGGGGCTCCCTTTGGAGCGGCGGGGTGGGGGGTGCGCCCCAAGCCGGGTACCGGGGGGGGGCTCCCGGGGTCCGGCCGTGCTCCCGGCGCGCCACGGGTCCCGCGTGGGGCTGTGCCTGCCCCACGGCGGGGGCCCGAAGGAGCCACCAGCGCCGGGGTCCCATGGGGGGGAGGCCGGAGCCCCGCACCCCGACAGCGCAGGAGGGGCCGGTCCCGCAGGGTGTGCGCGCGGGTGGGGGGGGCAGCGACGCGGACACGCGTGGGCGGCCGCGGGGCAGAGCCCCGACGGCAGCA